CCATTCTTCTTATTTTACAGCGTTGTCGTTCAATCGGGGGACACTCTCTGTTGAGGAGAAAAGCCTGAATTTGTTTGTAGACGAGGTATCCATTATTTAATGTCCCGGGCAGTCGAAAAGGAGGCAGAGCTGTCGAGAAATGCTGGGAGCTAACTGGGCGCTGACCGTGTCATTCCAATACATTAAATGTCGCAGTGTTGGCAAAGAGAGGAAGTGAGGAAAGATTTGCACATGCATGGATCAGGTTTCGGGTACAGATCGGGTAGTGACAGTGGCAATGCTTTCAACCAAAACAGGTGCAGCTTGATGACATCATCAACATGCGCTATCGCGGTAGAGCGGTATAGTCAAAATCTCTACAGTTGGCCAGATTCATATCGGTTCAACCGTATACCATTGATACCGCCCACCCCTACCTGTAGTCTATCGATCAGAGAATATTTCATGTTATTTCACTACGACGACAATGAAATCTGAAAGTTACTCATATATGCAGCTAAGCTTGACATAACAATTTACAGTATAGTAAATGGAGCACATCAACACAATGTGCAAAAGTCTGTTTACATACAATAAAACATAAGAACAGCCGATTGTACAACAACAACAACTGCGTTTGTGGTGTTCCACACAGCAAACAGTGTTGACCGCTAATAAAACTGACATTTTATTAGTGGTCAAATCAACAAATCAGAGAGCGTGAGGTTTCATCTGTTCCCCCGTCGAGGCGCTGACAGCACCAGAGAGTTTTAGGAACAAAAACATGGCCTTCCCTTTCACGAATTAGTACTTATACGAGGGCCCTGTTATATGAAACATGTATTACTGATTGGTGAGCTATCACTGATGATGAATAATCATAGACTTTAATACATGACACATTCTCTACTTGCAATAAACCAATAAAAACACAAAGCTCTCACTAAACAAACATACCAAAAAAATGAATTCATACACTATAAAAGCCAGTTACAGTTGACTTCAGCCACATGCTGTTCAATACTGTAGTTTAAAAAATATCCCAGAAACCAAAAAAAAACACAGTTTGCATGTCGACAGTGACCAGCACCAACCAGATGGGCCGGCTGTAATCTATTCTGTGATTGGATTTATGAAAATCCCTCTCATGGAGTGATGTGTGCACACTGTGAAATCCAGTTTTGGCACACTTTAGTCCTCTTGTCACATCACGCGCATGCAGGCATGTGTAAAATTGCATCATTCTCTGGAAATGACAGCGGTCTGCCTCATTATACGACTTGGCAGAACACAAGAGCATTTTAAGCTGTTTTCACGAGGACTCATCAGCGTTGTGATGCTCTGTTTCTCCAAAAACTGCCAGGAGAGTCCCATCTTCACCGAAATGTTCATGCAGTTCGACGGAAACACTGAGCTTCCTTTCAGTTTGTTCACTCGACTAAGTCGTGAGCTTTTCTCTTTGTGACTGAATACACTAAAAGTTTCTGGTGCCAGAAGGATTTTAGTCTTACTTGACCTGAAACTTTAACTTGAACACGGCAGTGACCGAGAAAAATGCTGATAACACCAAGAGCTTTGCTTATACTTTAATGTTCAACATTTTATGTCACCCAGTATAACCCGCCTCTTCTATTGGTTTCCACTGATCTCAGCAGCCTGAGGGCATTTTGCACTTTACACTCCTAAGAAGGTTAGGACACCAGCACATACAACATACATGCTACCGTATACCCAAAACAGACATATTTGTGTCTAAAATCATGACAAAGCCACGGGGCGATTCAGCACTACTGCATTCGCATCTTCACAGCAACGACTTCCTAAGAAATTCACTGTCCTCTGTCGAGGCAGACTTGTCACTTAGCAGGACATACAAAGCTATTTCTGGCCACTAAATGGACTCAGCAACTTTGCTCAGGTCGCGCAGAGTCACAGAAGCGTTTTTCTCTGGAAAAGAGAGCAGCCTTCAGCAAAGACAGACGTGAACTCTAATTGGGCCTGACACCGAGTCCATCAGAACTTACTGAGAGGTTTGAGGATGCTGTTGCTGGCCTCATCGTTGTTTTCTGTCTCCGACTTGTCAAAGACATTCTCCATCAACTTCTCCTTTCTGTCCTTGTGGCCGGTTTTCCGGCGGTGACGCCGCCGACGTCGATAGCTCTTGGGCACGTGCACGCCGATGTAAATGGTGTGGTGGCCTGTAAATAAAGCAGAAAGGAAGATGAACTCTGACACGCAACATCCTGACAATTTCACAGCGCCATGATACCGCAAAGACAAATGTCCGAGCTTTCCAGAAATGACAACAAGGCCAGAATATCTATGAAGGCTTGTGCGCTCATAGTCACCGTGTGAATAAAGCCCTCAGCTCAACACGTTAAAATCATGTAAATGAGGAAAATAGTTACATTGTTATAAAGCATTAAAGTAACCAGATACACTGTCTGCACTACATACAGATGTTAAAGATGCTTTTCAAACACCTCATTTAAGTACTGATAAAAGTTAAAGCATCCCAACATTTTTATTGGTTAGTGAAAACCAGTTATTAAATTTTAGGCTTTTATTTTTGTAATTCAGGTTTGGTTCGGTGGCTTTCCTGAGTGGATTTGTTCGCTTCATGTCAGCTGTTATTTAACAATGCTCAGTTTTAGTTTTATATATTGACATTTATAGTCATCTTTTTCATTTATATTATATGTCAGGGGCATATTTCTCAGAAGTGCAGAGTAGATCTTAGAATACAAACAAGATTTAAAGGTAGGACTTTGAAGTTCATACAATTTTTATGCAATGTTGAGATAAATAAAGCAAATATTGGCACCCAAAAGTGCTGAAGTTCAGGACACATAGCCTAACAGTGGAGCAGATGTGCCTCTGACCTTTAGATAATACAATTTTAAACTGTATCAAACATCACAGACAGAAAACTTCATCTCTGCTCAACTTCGGGT